CTAAAATATCCAACTGATTTTCTCAGTTTTAAATACATGCAACACCAATTGAAAGACAGACAGGAGGAAAAAATAAAACAAACCCCAAAAAACTCAGAGCATGTAATTTGGTACTTAAATACAAATTTAGTTGCTTTATTGTATACTGTGAAATCTGAAGAGGTATATTATGGATTCACATACCTTTTCAACTCTTAGTGCTAGAGGTATTATTGAAAATCTGCTGAAATCATTACTTACTGTGCTCCTTATTCAAAAGCCAGTATTTTCTAAAGATTTACCTCTCTATTGTATTAGTACAGATTTATTTTTTTTCCTTACAGAAAATAACACAGTATATCAGATAGAACAGTGTAGTTGGTAATGATAAAGTGTGGGGTGTTTTTTTATGGCAACCACTAAAATTATGTCATGAGTGTAAAAAATAAAGTGATCAAGAGTATATGTAAATATATACACACACACACCCTCTAAATTAAAATGTGGCACTGTAAGCTTTTCTTTCTCCCCAGCTTCAGTCTGCCGTTAAGGAAAATGAAACAAAATAAAACAACCCAGAAGTCTGAATGTAGACAGTCATTTTACACGAAGTTATCTTCGTATTTCATTTACCTGATGTTATTAGAGGAAAGTAAACAAAAATTTCAAAGAAAAATAAATAAATCCCAAGATCATTTCCACAACTGTAAAGGCAAGCATAGAAAACTATCCTTGTAACTGTGTTTTGTTCTTTAAAAGAACAGACAAACCAAGGCTGAGGACATCTTGTAAAGAGTCATGATGATTTATAACAAAACATTTTAGAACATATGTTGCATATGCATGGTTAAAACTGTTACACAATGTTCTATTTTCTTGTTGACTTATTCTCAGCTGGTTCAGAGGAGTAAAATATCATGAAGTAAAGGACAGTAAGGACAAACTCAGGTATGAGGCAGGAAGCCCATAAACATACAGAATCACAGGGCTGACAAAAAAATAAAGTAGGCATACATTTTCATCACAGCATGCTCTTACTTAAGCATATTCCAAGTAGTAGCAGTAGTTCCCTGTGTTCACTGCAGAAGAAATAGCTATGCTCAACTGAAGACTAACACATGACTAAAGAGGTAAATGCCATGGGCTTTTTATGATGCATATTTGGTGTTCTTTAACTTTTACTGTAATTTATCAAAACAAGGAGAACAGTATGGTGGGTTAACTTTGGCCAGCTTCCAGACACCTACCCAGCCATGCTCCCTCTCCCCCTACTCAACAGGATAGGGGAGGAAAATAAGATGGAAAAGCTCATTGCTCAAGATAAAGACAGGGAGATCACTTACCAACTACCATCACGGGCAAAACAATGTCAGCTATTGTCTATTAAAACAGATTTGGATAGTGAGAAACAAAACCAAAAAGATTAAAACAGGACCTTCACCATGCCTTTTTCCAGGCTCATTTTCACTCCCCTGCCTGTCCAGCATTCCTGTCCTTTCTTAAATATGTTTTCAGAGGTACCTTCACTGATGGGCTGAGCTGTGGCTTGCAGTGCATCAACATCTCGCCAATTCCTAGTCTTCCCTGTCCCTTCCTCTGAAATCAAATCCTATTAGCAACATTTGAGGAACGCTCATGTCAATTCCTCTGCCTGAATAATATTCACTATTCACAGTTCTAGGGACACTGAATTTCCCCCGTGTTACTGACTTTTCACCCAAATCCCTGTAATATGGCTCACACGACTAGCTGCTAACAATGACCTGAAGCATGGACTACTTACAAATATACTGCTTTGCCTTACTGTTGTAACTATATAACAATGCTCTAAAACAACATTACACTTGAAACTCCAGCTGATAGCATAAGATAGTATTTTGAAGCTGTTATATTTCAGCATTTTTAAGCTCACAGAATTTTCTGTGATGCTGCCTGAATTCTTTCATGAAATAATTTCTATTCCACCACTGCAGAGATAGAGATTCTATTATGAGGTACCTTATCTCAGAGGCAGGGTTCTTAATGCTTATCACAATGTCACTTTTCTATTTACATACTAGGATTGGCAAATAGGTTCTATCCATATTTTTCTTTACTGATCCATTTCCTGTGTGGAAACAAATCTGATTTAAAATGGCTCTGAAGTCTAGCAATGGAGGAATAATATGTAAGTCTGCCATACAAAGGTAGGTGAAAGGGAGTACATCATTCAAAAAGTCAAAATAGAAAAAAAAAAAAAAAAGGAGATTGGGGAAGTCACACAAGTTTTATGCTATTCTTCTAAACTTTATTTTCAGGATAGTTTTTGCTACGTAAGTGTCTCATCTCCCTCTCAGCTTCTTAATCCCATATGTTTAATTCCTTGATTCCCACCCACTGGATCTGTTTAATTTCAAAAGCAGGAAGATCGAAGGAAGATTTCTAAAAATGGAGGATACCACTCTTTGGCAGTCAGAATCAGGAAGACAGAACTGATGCCCACAAAGGCTCATATGATTGTTTCAGCACTGATGTGACATAGGATGGGGAGTCTTAAGAACAGAAGAATTACATTATCAAACCAAAGCTGCAGAAACTTTTACATAAGTGCTGTTCACTTCCCTTTCCACATCATTACTTTTTACTCTTTAATAAAGAAAGATCAAAAAAATCATTCCACTCATAGGTAGTAGGGATCTCGAACCCATCCTCGAGCTATTTCTGTACATTCTAAAATAATTCATGTGCAGAAGTGCAGCATTTAATCTTCATGAAACAGAAAATTTGAGCTAAAACCTCAGGAGAACTCCAAAGTTCTCTCTGAACCATTACATAAACCCCTTTTGAAAATGTTGTCGAGAAGAGATCTGTAAATGGTATTATTTCCTGAAGTTTTTTTCCTAGGCAAAAACCTGAAGCAGTCCAATACTCTAACTCCACAAAGAAATTTGATTTCAGACTAAAAGTGCGTGAAAAACATAGACAGCAGCATGAAGATACAAGATTCCTACCTTTTACTCACCTAGTACAAGACTAAGTTTGGATCACTCATTTTACTAGGAATTTCCCAGTAAAAGGGAGAACAGTAGTAGTAGTCGTCCCTGAGACTGTAATAGTAACAGTTCTTTTGGCAACGTGTGGAGTGCAGATGGTGTCAAAGATACGCCAATAACTTAAGCAGGAGCTTCCAATAAAATCTCTTGTAGTGCACGTTATACTCTGTGAATCAAAGTGATAGGGGCAACCCTGGGTATCTGGCACTTTTATTCTACATGTAGTCAGTTTAACTACCTTATATGCAAGCACATCCCTCAGGCAAAAGTCCATGCTCCAGACATATTTGTATTTATCTCAGGTATAAGTTACCCCTAACCAAACTGATTCATAGCCTCTGGAGAAAAACATCATCACCAGAATCACAGAAATTGCTTCATTCTGATCTACCTTCCAGTGACAGAACCATGAAAAAGAGTTTCCTCAAGTGTTCCTTTGAGCACTCTCCAGATCATCATTGCATTCAATGATCAAAACATAAATGATTATAGGGACACGATAGCCTCTCCCTGCTTATGAACGCTGCTCAGAGATTTAAAACCAGAGACAAGCCACACTAAGGGTTCTAGTAGAAACCATCAATATATTTATATCTCCATTTTCCATACAATTAAGCTTCTTTTTCTCAAACTGAAGATTGGAATGCACACTGCCGATGAGATCATTTACTGACAGAAAACCAACACAAAGTTTCGACACTGAAATGGCATCTTCATGTTGGTGTATCTGTTTTAATTAGCTCCACTTTTCATGTAGGGTAAATAAAACATTAAGGAGTCAGCCAGACAGATAAGCGACAAACTGTTTTTTCGAATAGCTCCATGAAATGAGCAAGAATAAAGCTTAAAGAGTGTTATATTTACCTCTGTAGCTCCCAGGGCACTTTTAAGAACACTGGGTCAGGTACACTGAGACACTGAGAAAATGTGCAATTTCTTTCCCACTGAGCTGTCAAGGCATCCATGCTGTGAATAGCTAACACCCTTCTTTGACAACCAGGCAAATATTTCTATTTTCTGCCATTCTAGTCATGAAGTATCTCAGCGTTGCCTCAGTTGATTTAGTGCCAATTCAAGTCATACTTTAGATGTCTGAGCTAGTAACTGGACCAAATATTCTTGATGAAGCCTTGCCACAAACTCACAGACTGCTGCTTAATACATTTCCAAATAGTTAGATAGTAAAAAAGGTTGTAAAGCTGAAAAGGCAGCAGAGAAGCAGAACACACATTCACTGAACTGCCAAGAACAGAGATTTAAACGGTATGTACAATTCAAATATGCTGCTGCTTCTATTTATTGTTAACATTGCTTTAAAAAAAAAAAACAACAAAAAAAACCCAAAACACCTTAAACTTATAAAAGACTATGTAGTTCCTTAAAATCAGTTCTTTATCTCCCACATTTTGAAGACACATATATTTAGAAAAGCATAACTAATAACCAAGTCTATCCTGGCAGAACTGAGGCAAGTCTAAATGAACATAGCACAATTATCACTTTAATAGGATAAGACACTATAAAAATTATTTTTTCTTACATCCTTTCACATTTAAATTTCTGATTACATTTCACTTGCACCTATTGACCATAAGTTTCCATCACCAGTACCATGAAAGCGGAAGAAAGAATGAAAGGAAGGAATATTTCTTTCAGTAGGGACAGATCCTGTGAAACCTGTTCAGAAACCACTGGACTAGTACTTCACAGCTTTCTTTTCCCAGGGGATAAGAGGAAGAAATAAAGGTTCAGTGTGTGAATACACAAATACAAAAAAACCCAAATAAATTATTTAGAGTGCCAAAAGTTTAGAGTAAAGCACTTCTGAGACTGGATTCCACCCTTTGAGCCATGCTGCATTACACAGCATTCCCTTACTCAGAGTTTCTATTTCAGACAGGATTTGGTTTAGTGTTTTAACTCCTACATGTACAATCTAACGGAGAATTAAAATGTCCATTAACTGAATATGCCTTGAACAGCACTTACCAATACTGGCATAACCAGGTGTTGATGGATCTCCTCCGCTGTTCAAGGAAACCATAAAAGCTTTATCGGCCAGATCTGTAGTCTTTGGTAAGTCACAAGGATCAACGTAAAGAAGAACACCACCAAACCCTGCATCTTCTAACAGAGAAAGCTAAAGGAACAAACAACATAGGTGACTATTAGCAAACATAATATCAAAACCCATCATTATTTATTTTAATTACTATTGAGATAGAGGCATTATCGTGCATCAGGCTCTCACCATACTATGCTCTGTACAAAGACACCTGCAGTTCCAAACTATTTGTGATAAAAACCCAGCAGCTATGCTTTGGAAAGACAATCAAACCCCCCAAAATGCTAATTAAAACTCATGTTACCCAAATCATGTCAAAAGCTACTTTCAAAGCCTAACAAGAAAAAGATTTCTGACTTTTAAATGATATGTAGCATGCTGAGGAAAAACTCGCTACAACTGCATTTGAGATTTGAAACTCTTCAATCTTTAGCTCTTTTGTTGCGATAGTCAGACAAAGCTGGTGTGTCGGAGATTATATTCAGGTGAGGTACTGGCCATTATTCAGAAACATACACAAAGAGATACAAGCAGAGCCACCTTTCTCCCTACTCATTGGACACTTGCTAGAATTACAACCCCAACATGTCTTCATGCGATATAAATACCATCTTGAAAATGCCTTAGTTTTGAAACTAATCTTATTAAAGCATCTTGAGTACATCTTCCATATTTTCCATACTATTAACAATATGACATTCCTGCTTAGTTTACCTCTTCAAGGACATGGATAAGTGTTTATAGCACGTACTAGATGTTTGCATACACTATCAGCAGTCTTGCACAGAATTTCTGGACACCATTATTCTTCAGTTAAGAGAGAAAGCAAAAGGTGCTTACAGGATTGGGAAAAAAAAAAGGGCAGTCTAGCTTACTCAAACCTTGGGAGTCTGTCTCCTGTCAGACAGATAGCTTTTACTCTCTCTCATTAGAACATCACAGGTTGAGTTGGTAATGGTAATTAGCTTTTCCAAAAATCTATAGATCTGGTGCAGCAAAATCAGGCAAACTTCCCCAAAGTCAAGAACAAAAGCATCCAAGCACCATTGCATAGATCAATTTTGACTGAAAAATCTCAGGTTTTCCCTTTCATAGAGAACTGAAAAATAAGGGGAATTCATTCTGAAAAAAGATGAAATGAAATTGTAACGTAGGAAATACTCCAATGAAATGCGATGACCCTTCTGTGTAACGCTCTGCATATTTGGAATTGACTGAAGACTACAGTGACACAAAACTATATTAATTTTTGAAACATAAGTAATTCTGGTATTTAACAATTATTTTACAATTCACTATGCTCTACTGATGACTTTCCAAATGGCTCCAAATGGTCTGAGGAATGTCTGCACGTATATGACGTTTCTGGCCTACACAACTGATTCTGTAGGAAGACGAGAACTTGTTACTATATCTCTGTCTGTCAGTTCAATTGTTCTTCTCCTTCTGTTTTTAGACACCTCATTTTTTTCTGTGTATATAATGTTTCCAATTTATCTCCTAGCTGTTGATTTTAAGGAATGTTTATGCATAGTGCTTTGTGGCTTTACAAGTATGCAAATTACATGAATATACAACATCCAGTTTAAGCCTCAAAAGCATTTGATGTTTAGTTCTGCTTTTCTTAAAAGACAGAAAAAAAAGTATAAAAATAGCAGCCTACTATTTGCCATTTTATAAGTAAATATATCTATTATTGTGATTTGCCAAGATTTTGACACAGAAGTCCGAATTGAGATAAACAGATGCAAGTGAACCTATTGAAACACTTGTGTAATCTTATGTATTTTATTCAAACAAGAAATCCCTAGATGAAAAGGGAAAGTCTGTCTGAGATAACTCTATTCAGATGAATATGAGTGTGCAGAGTAAAGAATGTGACTAGCACAGATGTTTAAAAATGTAAAAGGTTAAAACGTATTACAGACCGTAAATGTAATGCAGGAATAAAAATTTTCAAAATGTTAGGTTTGGTCATTATTGTGTCGTTCTCTTTTCAATTCATGTTCATACTCAGCCAGGATTTGATTGCACAATAAAAGGGGTGGGGCTACTATATGAGAAGCAGGACACATGACAGTTAAATGATGTAACAACCAGGATTTAAAATTACAATTGTCTTTTCCTGCATCCATAACCAGTATGTTTTTATTCTACTCTAGTCTCACCGAACAGAACAGAAGATAGGAAACACAGATGCAATCTCTACCTTGAAGAGAATTTTAAAAACTTTTATGCAATCTCTACCTTGAAGAGAATTTTAAAAACTTTTAAAGTCGCAAAAATCACTACTAAATTCCTCTGTTTCACCGAGAGAAGGTAAATACACAGTTGTTATTCACAAAGCACAGCAACCACTGCTGCCATGGCTACAATCTCTAGTAAGGAGTTGTGTTGTACATGTGAAATTATAAAACAGCTTTCAGATTTCAGCTATAATTGCTGCTCTTTAACTTTCCTACAGTAACATCACAACTATGCTAACAATAAACGAGTATTGTTGCTTCAATTTTAATCTTAAATAAGTCAATACCTTTACAGACTTAAAGTGCCCTAGCATAAACAATCTGAGGAAGGTACTGAATGCTTTTTTACATGGCTAAAGACTGTAGATTAAGCCCTTCAAGTAAACTGGGACAGATCTATTCAAATCAATGGATTATTTTAGATTGTAGAAACAACTAACAGCAGAATTTGCTCCTTATGGTTTTGGGTGTATGCCTCCTCCACCTCCCAAAGTCACAAACATCTCAGAAAAAAACAGAAACAGCAGAACACTTGACAAGAAAACAGACACTGTTGCCTGCTGTTAACCCTTTCATTAATTATGTCTGCTTAAATCCTCAGGTTTTAGAGTCAAAAAAAAAAAAAAAAAGTAACTCTTTCAATCCAGTATATTAAATCACCCCATAAAACATTCTGGGATCAGTTTAATCTAATGTAAGACACTAGCTGCGCTATCAAAGGCCCTGTTGTGTAACTGGGGACAGATTAGCCTTGTAAACTCTATGCACCATAAGGCACCATTAAATTGCGTTTTGAAGATGATGTGGCTGAAGCAGTGAAAAGACACGCCTTTATTTTACTCAGGGAGCTTCTTATATAATAAGGTATTGCTTGAACGTAAAGTGCAATGACTATAACATCACTAGCTTTAGATATACTAAATGGGCACCCTTATAACACATTCAAGTTTCTGGTCAGGAGAGCAAGATAACTGATCTGCAAGAGTAAACCCAATTCTTTAGACAGGCAAATTACGACAGTCTGAAGAACTTGGGTTTTGCTCTAACAGGAAAACTCAAAGCTACTTCTCCATTTTAACTGCACCATCTCTGAATGTTGCAGAGGAAACATTATTCTTTTGTATTGGCACATAGGTAACAGAGACTAGGTCTGTACTCCACATTTGAGCCAAGCTTTACTGTTGGGCTTTGGCTGCAAACCTCCTGGCAGATAGGCTGTAGGTCAAAAGTAAGTTGAGCACAACTCTTCACTGGAATAAAGAAGCAACAAAGAAGCAGGGGCCACTACCTGTCACAGCTGACTCTAATGTGTTTTATCTCACCTGGGGCTAGTGTGCGCCTGAACGAATGCTTCATCAGGGGTTACCTTAGTCATCTGAATGCAGGAACAAAGAGAAGTGATCATCACCTCTCTATGTGAAACTCCAGCGTAATGCAGTAAGAGCTGTTCTTAAATGACTAGTTATAACCAGCTAAGCAATGCAGCAGGTAGTGGCCTCAAGCTGTATTTGTTATCTTTCAGCTGAGAGCAAAGCCTGCCTCACTGAAAATCTTTTCCCCTGGTCTCCTCAGCTTAGTCTCTCCTTGCACCTCCCAAGCATCAAACCACACATGAATAATCAGGTAACCAGGCTTCATTCTTGTCCAGAGAGTACATTGGACTGGTTACCTGCTAACCATGGCGCCTCAGAAAGATTAAAATCATACACATTGAACCATGTAGCTGTTTGAGAAGGGCTCTCACTTTCCAGCCGAAAATAAAGCCTTATTGCATCAGCACTACTCTGGTGTTCTGTTCATGGGAGCCACATCTTGGGAGTTTCAACTGTCATTTCTTGGGCAGAGAGCAGAAAAGTATATCACACTTTGGTCTCATCTGTATTACACCAAGTTAGAGTGCAGAGATAGCTAAGAGTGAGCTTCTTAAACTGCTCACTCAGTGCTCTGAACACCTTATTTTTTCTGATCCAGAAAGACCCTAATGGCTTAAAGACAAGGAAATGATCATGCCATCTTTGCTCTCCCTTTAGTTGATTCCTAGTGACAGTTCTGTTTACAGATGATTTATAAAGTAGTAATGCGTGATCAACTGATGAGATTGCATCACATGGTATATTACTAAAGGCAATAATGTTAATGATGATTATGAAGGCGTCAGAAAAAAAAGATGACACAGGTAACTGTGGATTAGAACCACCTACTAATTACATATTAAAATTGCTTCTCATTATTAGCAGTTCTTCCTGCTATATTTGGAAGTGGTCCCAACATACAGCCAAACTTTCTGCAAACCTTCCTGTGTCACTGTCTAGATATTTCTGCATTATGTGAAACTCCTTTGCCATCAGTCATGGTATTAAAGGCACAGACAGCTGCAGGTTTGCGGTTTGTCTTTCTTCTGGTGAAGGTCATTTCTTCTCTCTCCCCTTTAATTTTCCCCTAAATGTTATGCTTTATAAGGTATGACACCAGCCCCATTACTGACAAATATTGCCTCTGTAAGACTTCTTTAGTCTGCTTTATCTGTTTGTCTGTTTGTGTGCCTTGATCCACAGTAATGATTGAACCACTGATTAGCTGGCACAGAAGACTTATTTCACAGGACAGAATATCTCAGTGTATTCCTGCAACTTTAATGAAAATGGGATACTGAGTAGACGAGAGGCAGATCCTGCTAATGCACCACACCGAGAAGGCATTAATAAAATCTGGAGGGCTTACTCCTTAATGGAAGGGGGGGAAAACCATATAAGAAATCACAAGAGAGTGTGACAGATGGAAAAGAATACAGAAACTTGGATCACAAATTAGACACCACAAAATCCAACC